GTCGGGTTATATCAGGTCAACCGATTATATCGGGTCAACCGAATAACCGGATTAACCGGTTAAGCATTTGCTTAACCAGGTCACCCGATTTTTTTCAGTTCGGCTCGGCTACCCGATTATGGTCTAACCGGTTCACCTCACTAAGCGTACGTACGTACGTACGTACGTAGGTACATGTAAAAAATGAGCTGTTTTAATATGTAGCACCTCCATTATTATTGCTTGTCATGTGCCCCTTCCTCGCACATAACAGTTGTGACCAACCATTATTATATCTACAGTCATGTCCTTTCAAGTGCTAACAAATACATCAGTGTCTAGCGACATAGTACGGGACATCGAACAAGCCGCTGGAAGTCACGTGAGCAGAATTTTTCAAGCATCGTTAGACTTTTTCGCAAAGTATCGCTTTACACTACTCAAGTTGTGCTATACCAGCATTATTTAGGCTGGATGTAGTTTTTTATTAAAGCAGTTAAAATAGAATTAGTATAGTACGTGATGGCAGAAAAGCAAATGACTGGCCGCGATTAGCCAGAACGACAATGACTTCTCGAAAAGTTTGCAACAATCATTGCGCCGGGTGTCGCCGTAGGATCGATCAACCGGTGTTTTCCAGCCTACCGGAGCAGGCCAGCTGTGAGCAGAGAAGAAGGTGAAAAATACCAAATATGCGATAGAGAAGTAGAAATGGTAGAAAATTTTCGATTCTACCATTTTCTTCCCTTTTTTTTTTTTTTTTTTTGATCCGCATATACGAACCGTTCCAAAAATATTGATTTTTGTGAAGTCACACGTTGTATGCTTTCATCAATATGTGTGCATCATGATGGGGTGTGTTCGTATATATCTATAAAATGCACCTGAATCCCATTGGGCCAATTTTTTGAATCATTATAGGTTGCACCCGTTGCACCCGCATTACCAATTCTGTGGTCTGAAGCTGTGCTCTGAGATGTCGATGTTGGGTAGAATTGAAAACTTTTGCAGAATCATCGGTTTGTGGCCCATGAACCATTGGATCTTACGAACAGTAGCTCGCTGTCGGGTGCGTAGGATGGGCAGGTGCGTCGAATGATGTATGTTTTGAGTATTTTTGGTTCTTGTAAGTTGAACTGTCGCGAATGTCCTGGAGTTGGTGTGCTCGAACCTTAGTGCTTGCAAGTGAGGGACCTTGCTTCCATCAAGTTTGTGGTTTGGTAGGAGTTCTTCAAGCCACGCTAATCCATAAAATGCGGTTAATGCCACTGACCAGAATAGTAAGTTACCTGACTCATTGAGGTTTTTGAAGTTGAACCTAGGTGCTGCGCGTAGAGTAGAGTTGGCCCCGAAACCCTTTCCACCAAAATCCGAAAGTTTCGGGTTTCGGATTATAGCTTCCGAAACCTTAT